AGAGACACCCCGCACTTCCACTGTTTTCGGGGATTCCACAAGAACACCAACATATACAACTGTAACATATAAGCAGAGGACCTAGTTCAGTCTCTTGAAAGCTCTGCAATTATTGTTTCAGTCTTTGTATTTTTTTAAATTTGGTTTTGTTTGTTCGCTTGTTCGTTTGAGACAAGGACTCAGTAAATTAGACGGGACAGCTTTGAGCTCATTCTGTAGCCCATTTTGATCTTGGTTTTGCCTTCTTCTAGCCTAATCCTCCCTACTGGCTGCAATTATAGGTCTGGACCTCTAGGTCCAACTGAACACTTCCCTCTCAGCATGAGACCAAAAAAACCACATTTGTATAGTATCTATCCTATAGATACTATAGGGATGGGGAAGGTATGTCAGAAGATGGAGAATGAGTTCTTATCCTGGGGAGTTTAGACCAGGAGGAAATAGAGTGGCAAAGAAGTAAATGAAAAGCCTTTTGGTTTAACAACAGAACAGGAAACATGGCCACAAGATGAAGTGGCACTTCCCTTTTGGGTTATTTCTATGGCATCTCCCCAATTCCTCTACTTAGTTTCCTAAGTGTGTCTCTAAGCTTCTGCTGAGATCCTGTCTGGATTGGTCAGTCTGCAGTTGAGTGCGCAACCCCCTGGTGTAAAGGTTAAAGGCCTGAAGAAATTCCAGGAAGGCTGAGGAAACAGAGCTGGCATGCTGGTCAGTGGCCCCTGCCCTCCACTCATATGATCAGAGCCCACCTTCTTGCTAGCCTACATGGAGCCGTTAGCTTTCATCGATTCTCCTGTATTTCAGGACCTTGTCATAAAAACTCACAAATCCAGAGCACACTGCTTCCTGCTGTATTTATCAGGAAGGCAAGTTTTGTTTGTTACATAATCTCCCAAGTTTTCTTAAATAAATAAAGTTTTAGAAAAAGTGACTTTTTTTAGTATTTAAATACAAGCTGTGGTTGGGGTGGGGTGAAGAGATGGCTCAGCGGATAAAGTCTAGGCTCACAACGAAAAATAAAACCGAGCAGAGAGTGTAATTCTCATGGAGGCACTTGACTAGTTTGCTGACAGTTTTGGATTCATCCCACAATACAACATTCAAATAAACTTAAACCTGACTTTATTTATTGTTAATGGACAGAACTGAATGTTTGCTGAATGTTTTGTTTCGTCTACTTTCCTGATAGGAGTGATGCCAAGTCTTCTGTCAACAAGTCCTTTAGGAAATTCTGTGTATTAAGTGAACTTTATGAATTTTAATCCAATGTTCAAGAGATAAAATGTGGTTCATACAGGCTCCCATTAAAAGCAAATTAGCCTGGTTCTCCATAGCAGAGCATCGCTAAGCATGTATAAGACAGTGCCTTCTATCCTCACCACCAAATAGACACAATCAAATGCTAGCCTAAATGTATTAATTTGGGGTTTTTTTCCAAAGAGCAGAGAGTGTAAAGAACATTCCATAGAGCACAGAGGCCTCTTTAAATCCTGGTCCTGGGATGTCTGTCTATGCCTGTCCTGCTAGGCCTGATATCCTTTCCTTGCAAGGCTGAAGTAGGGAACTTGGTGTCAGAGTTGATGACTCTAGGAGGTAGCGATCCTATGTGCTCTACACAGCTTCACAGAGGAGCAGAATGGGGAACAGGAGACTTCTTAATTCCTGTCTCTCCTGCTTCTGTCTTCATATTGGTTTGAAAGGTTGCTCTTGTTTCAGCAAGAAAAATGTGTCTGAAAAGGTTCTGCTTTAAAAGAAGCTTAAAGCCCAAAATGCATGGGCTCCCCGGGTTAATAAATAGAGTAGTGTATTCCCTTGGCAGCTGGGACATCAGCTTCAGAAGGTGAGCAGCTTCTCGGCCTGTGTGTGAGCAACTGTGACAGGTAGATAAGGCAGAAGATGGGTTCTAGTCAATTGTGGTAAAGGTTGTCTTTAGAATCCATACTAATATTGCAGCAACTTGTGTCAGAGATTCAAGTAATATTTGTATAAATTTGTGATAATCAAAAGATTAGCAGCCATGGCTTGAAGTTGTATGATGTGCTAGGCAGTATGGAAAGCACTTAAATGATGTCCTAGAATCTGCCCGTGATATCATCTGCCCGTGATATCTGCCCATGATATCTGCCCGTGATATCTGCCCACTGTATACCCAATCTGACTAGAAAGCATTATGATAAATAAATAATAATATTGAGGAATGACAAATGCATAGTCATTAAAGAATTGGAAAAGAAATTATAATTCTGAAGGAAATAAAAAAAATGCTTACACAGGTTGGAGTTGAGGTCTAAAAAGGATTGATATAAAGAAAACCCCAAAACCAACAAACAAGGGAAACACCTGCAGAAACACAGAGAGGAACCTCGGGGGGACTACTTGAGGGCAAATGAGTATGTGGTGTTTCTGGCTGCCAAATTACCTACTGTTATTTTTGGTTGTGATTTTTGGTTGTGCCAGCAAAAGTGATTCAGGCAGGCTCGGGACATGATCAGTTCATCCTGAGAACTGTTCTCTGTCTTATATAACATTTAATGTGACAGGAAACATTCTGTGGACAGGCACTTGGAAAGCAAGTCAAAGTGAACAGGTCACAGAATGAGGCTTGACAGTATTGCTTGGAAAAGTGACCATGTGAGATGCATGTCTGTGTTTGTGTGTGTGTGTATGTGTGTGTGTGTGTGTATGTGTGTGAGTGTTAGATTGAGTGGTGAGAGATGGGAACTATGGCTATTGCCTTCAGAGTTCTGAAGTTTTAAAGAGTGAAGTGACATCATCTTTTCAGCTACTTCAGGCCTAAGTCAGACTCAGAAATTCATGTAACATTTAAAAAATATTTTTAAACACATAGGACCACACACAAAATAACGATGTCCTTGAGCAGATCCTCCAGAGTGTGTTTGGTTCTAAATGTTTTAATTCTGGCAATGTAACCCTGTACCTTTAAATCAGTGTTACAGTAAGAGCCAGTAGATGGCAGTAAGATACCGCAGATTTTGGCATTAGCTGCTGGGCTTTCACTGGTAAAAATGCTAGATTTTTTCTTCTTCTTCTTCTTTTTTTTTTGTAATTATTATTTGAAGGTGGGTCCTAATCTATTGTTCAGAGAAATTGCTGAATTGAAAAACAGGAAATAATACTTTCTAATTAAATAGACAAAGTGATTATCAAAGACTTTTATTTTGTCCCAATTCTACAAATTTGCAGTACGGTGTACAGTGTATGTGTGTGTGTGTGTGTGTGTGTGTGTGCCTGTGTGTGTGTCTGTGTGTGTGTGCCTGTGTGTGGGTGTGTGTATGTGTGTGTGTTTATGTATGTATGTAAGCAAATGAAAGATCTGGTGTGTTTTTAAATAATTCCAAATTTGAATGAATGTTAATTTGTGTAAAACTTAAAAAGCATATTATTGAATTGAGCTTCTATGAAATCATTTACTGAAAAATGCTTTTTTCCTTATGCACACCGGGATTTGCACATAGATTTTGTGTATTTAAACATAAGTATATACTCTTTGTAAATGTGCCGAGTTGAAGCTGCCTCTATTTTCTTTCCTTTTCGTTCTTTCGTCCAAATTTTTTCAGTAAGCTTCATTTAGGAGTGACATCTCACCCTGGGAGATGTCAGTGATTCCAATTGCTCCTCATTCAGGTCCCTGGGCTTGACCACAGAGAAAGACCTGCATTTTTAGCAATACAAACCTAAATAAATGTTCATCAGAGACATGTATATGTCAAAACATATGGAAAATGCAGCCTGTTAATGTCCAATTTGTGAACAGGAGAAGAGCGTGGGTTGCTGTCCTCTCTTTTTGCTGATCAAAAAGTATCCTAAGACGGTTCTGCCATTGGGGCTCACAAACATGGGAGAGGACAGCACACCTCACCTCTCTCTCCTAAGCCTCTGGCAGAGGCATGGCTCCAGCTTCTAGTGTGCACATTTAGGCCCCGTTCTAAAAGTTGCATGCAGAGAGCAAGAGCGGTCAAGTCCAAAGAGCACACCTAGGCTCCCTTACTCCCTTTCTATTCTAAAATGTACCCAGGCTGCCAGGGAGAGAAATTGTTTAATTTGCAAACAGTTTGGAGCTCTGTAGAATTGTGAAAGAGCAAATTTCAGACTTCTGACAGAGTCTTAGATAGACAACCCCCCCCCTTCTTTCTCTCTCTCTTTCAAAGTGAAGCTAGAAGCTGTGTGGGGCCTTGGCCAATACCCTGCACTTTCTGAGTCTCATTTGCTGTTTATGTCTTTACCTTCTTTCAGACAAAAGTTTGAGAAGTTGGGAAATATCTCCCCTAAAATTCCTGCTATGACTCTTAACAAAAGACTTGACACAAAGTGAAAGTAACACACTGAGAATCCTCAAAGCATTTTTGTTTTTTTGTTTTTGTTTTTGTTTTTGCTAGCAAAATAATCACAGCTAATTGTCATTCACAAATTTTCCCTAGGAAGCCTCTCGCTCTCCCTTCTCTCGGTTAGCAAATCATGATGTTTTATGTACATACATGCGTTCTCACTGCGTGTAGATATAAAATGATCCTGCACATTTCTTGCCGAAGTTTATGTGCATGCTAAAATTAATCAAGAGTTTAAGCTCTTTTCTTACAAACTTTAGGGTTTTTTTTTAAGAATGTAAATTTCAACCAGTTTGAACAATGCTTTTATTTGCTTTCTGTTTTAAATTAGATATTACCTGATGAAAATAGGCTACAGTAATATAGACAGAACATATTAAAAGTAAACAATTAAACAAAATATCTAAAAATAAGCATTTTAAAAAAATGGAGACTCTGCTCTAGAAAACATTCTCAGTGAGACCTCGGTCCAGTTGCACAGAGATGTCTAGACCTATCGAGTTAAAAATTTTCAAAGTTGCTCATATTTATTTGACACATGTTGATGTGAAAGATTAGTGATCGAGCAAATATTTGTGTGTGTGTGTGTGCTCACAAAGTAAAGTCTGAAGACAGTGTCATGCAGAGGCACTTTTAGACTGTGCAACCCGATCGGTTTGAACTCTGAAAGATCATATTATTTATTTATTTGTTTGTCTTTCCTTCTCAAAGACAGTTAATTACTGAAGCACCGAGAGAGAACGTTTTGTATTCCTGCTTTGCTACTGTGCCTCACAAACCTGGGACTAATGAGGCCAAGTTCTCACCCCAGCTGTGAACTTGCTGACTTTCCTGCTTGGAAACCGGAGCAGAGCTTCTGAACATTGGTGAGTTATTTAAAATAATGATTGCTTTTTGTTATTGTTTCTGTTCTATGAAGAGTCAGGTTTTTTTTTTTCCCTAATGCAACAAAGACAATGGCTTGGATCTGGTGTAGGAGAAAAGGCGTGATAGGCCTGGTGGACATCTATGGCTTGTATATTTATTTAAGGGCTTGCTGTAATGCATATTATTAAGGATGACAATCATGAACTTGCTTGCATTGTTTATTTTGTAAATACACATAATGGAGCTTTCAGAAACGGAGATCAGCTGCCCCTTTGCCATGGTGGCCGACTGCTGGGAAGGGACTGCCCAGGGGCCCTTTATGACTTGGTTTCCTGACCCAGGCCTTTTGCAATTTATGCTCTTAGAATATTGTTAAGTCCATTTATAAAATTTCCCACGCAAACATCTGAAATGAACTATATAGATCTACGTAAAAGTCCTATTGTAGATTACATTTGGATGTCTGTAATGGACTAGCACAGCAGCTGAACTCAGGGAACTAGAAAGACGTCAAATATGGTGTTTGTGGCCATCACATGCAGAAAGAACCCCAGGATTTCTGAGCTGCAGAGGATCCACTTCAGACTGGTGGCTGGTAATTTAATTAATGTGTGCCTCTGACGCTGAGGCCAAGAAATGGAATGGCCAAACCCACCTCCCCACACAAGACCCGAGGCAGCTTTCCCATTTGAATCCTTTGAATTATAATTTCCCATTTTTACACTAACTCGTAGAAACTTCACCTGGACCTTACGGCATGATTTTGACCTTTTCTGGCTCTATTTCAGTATTTGAATCATTTGGGCTTTGGATTATGAACACAAGACACAGAATGAAGAAAGGCTCTGAGGGATTTGACCTGGGTAGCTGAGTCCCCTTCCCACTCATTTCTCCACTGCTTGAGAAGCTGAGGCTGAAAAATCCCAGGAATGAAGATTCTAAGAAAACACTCTCTCCAAAAGAAAAAAATTATGTTTGTTTCTGTAAATTTTATAAACCCTTGATTTAACAGAACTTAAAAGGCACCTCACATGGTCCAGAGGCTCTGAATATCACATCTGCTTTTAATATTGTTGGGTGTCTTGGGCTTTTTTGGAGTCGGTTTGATGCTGTCTTTTGTTGTAGGAGAACTGGTGTATTCTGTGATGCCTGGAGTTGCCAGTTCAAAGGATACAGCCTTTCTTAGGCGATTTCTTCTCCCCTCCCCTCCCCCACTTTCCCAGTGCTTCCTTTTCTTTTCTGGAGTTGGGGGGGGGCTTTAAAACAGTCACAAGGGGCTCTCAGGATTTCTTCTTTGAAGACCCGGCTCTTTATAATGACGATAGCACAATCTGTAGTCCAGTTTGAAGTTGAATGTGCATGGTAAAATAAATACTGTTATTACTATCACACTTTACCCTGAGTCAGGTAAATAAATGTCCCAGACTCAGTACTGGAGGGGCAGGTACTAATTACTGTGAAGCTAATTTTAAGTATCTTTCTTTAGTTTTCATCTGGACTTTGGATGTTTAGGAGTAATCCAACACTCATATGTGTACTTCCCCATCACGACTGATTCTGTTAAATATCTTTACTCCCAAACTCGGTGTGGGTAGTGCTTTAAAAGTAGCCTATACTCAAAAAAAATTAAAAGGCTTTTATTCATTCAAACTGAATGTTAGATTAAAGAGTGAGACATCAGTGGATGAGAGAGGAAAGCTGGCCTTCTGCGTTTGTCTCAGACAACGATTTCGGCTAGGTGACTGTGTTTTGTGGAGAAAAGGATTCGATGGAATATTGACAGCCTCCTATCAATAGTTGAGCCCTAGAGGCCTGGCTGTTTGGGCCCACACTGATTGACTGTGCCTTAATAGACATGTAATTGTTGACAAATACCTTCCGATAGACTGTGGCAATACCCAGGCAGACAAAGGAGGCTTCCGGGTAATAAGAACCAGCGCAGAGCCATTTGTTAGAGGCAGAGCCTTGCCGAAGAAATGACTTATGCTTAGAGAGAAGCACTGGAGAGAAGGAAGCTGGACAACCCTCTTCCCCCACTCCTCCCTTCAGCCAAATCTGGACAATATTGCTGAAGTTGCGACATTAGTAAGAATTCTTGTTGTGTTTATAGGTTTTCTGTTGTGTACAGCGTGGTTTCAAAGTCTTAGCTTTGCCCATGTTAAACAATTATGCATATGTGTATTATTTATATATGCATATATAATACACATATATTGTACACACATCACATACATGTACATATAGACAGAAGTGCATATGTGATTTGATATCTAGAATATTTTTTATCTTGTGTATGGTATTCTAAAATCTATCAACAGAGGTTCTAGGAATACAATAGGCTATTCAGGCAATTTCAAAGAGCCTCGGGCATTAATAAGAATACTGGAAAAAAAAACTGAATTTGGATGTAAGCCCCAATTACTACTAAAATATCAGAGGAGCCTGGAGCTGTCCTTACAAAACCTGCATCCAAGAGCATTTTGGGATGTGAAACATATCCTTGCGCTGTCTGAGCAAGGCTGGCGTCCGAGATCCATGCCTGGCTGAGAAGCTGCTCCTGAAAGTTGGCCTCACAAGATACATTCCCTGCGTCCCCTCAGTTCCCCTTATCTCCCACTGTGGGGGCTTATTCTCAACCACAGGAGGCCAGGACTGCTTTCAGCTCCCAACAGAAGCGTGCCCACAGTGGGACAATGTGATATTATTTTGATCGGCAAGCTAGTGTAAGCTAATACGATACAGTCAAAGGCAAAGAGAGTTCAAATGCAACCTCAGTCTCACTGTAGGCATAGCATACAGTGCCAGCCAGAAGAGCAGACCCAGCTAGGCCTAATGCTATTCATGACACAGCTCTCCTCACAGGGTCCTGTGAGTGCATCAAGGTGACACCGCAGGCCGTCTCCTGACATCCCCTGTGAAAGGGAACCAGCTCATGCCCCAAAGACCTTGAGTCCTGCCTTTGATTCTTATCGATCAAAAATGAAGATTAAATCCCATATCATAGAGGGAGGCAAAACCTAAGCTTTCTATGTCAACTTCCAGGAACCCAAGCGAAGCCCTTTAAATCATCTTTTTATGCATGAAGGAGAGCCCAAGTACACATGTATTCCAGAAAGAAGGACAAAGTGGCCAAGCAGATACAGGGCTCTGATAACTCCCAGTCATCTTGGCAGGAGGATGAGCCAGATAAGAATGCTCTGCCTACCTGTTACCAAATTTAAGACTATAATTAAGATTAAGATTCATTTGGGGGTGGGGGTGGGGTGGGGAGGAAATATTATGTTTGAAGTTGCTTCTTTTGCAAGCTGTAAGCATTCCTAAACAGTCAGGCTTCTGCAAACAGCTGCCTCAAAATGTTTGTGTGTGTGTGTGTGTGTGTGTGTGTGTCCATTAATTCAGAATTACTCCAATTACAAGCTTTTGATGCTCTGAAACCCTCTCTCTAACCCAAAAGAGATGGAGAGCCCTCGGACTGTCCAATCAGATCATTTTCTCTGCCGCCTGCAGCAGATGTAAGCAATTTACTTTTTTATTTCTGCATATTCAGTGTGAGCGGAGCTGCTGGGGACCTTTCACCTCGGAGCCTGCAGGATTCTAACCCTATCAAATTAAAGCATTTTGCTCACTTATTCCCAAACGCTTTGCCGGTGCTAAGCAGACATCCCGCTGCATAGCAATGGCGGGTGTTCGTGTCCACTCATAGCCTCAGTCTAATCACATATTATTAAGGAAAATATACAGTGCTTTAATTTGATGAGATTGGTTATAGGTAGTGCAGTTAAAGGTCACACTCCTGCGTGTATCTCCCTCTGTCTCTGTAATATTTTCTTCTCGCTTGACAATCCTGAGCTGCAAACAATAGGCCAAGGCAACACATTTATTTTTGACATGCTGTGATGGGCTCAATAGGGATAAAGATGAATTATTTAAAGATTGCATAAACAAACATCTTGGGCCAGGTTTTGGTTACATCTTTTCTTTTGTGCTCCATGGTTGCTGTTGCCTTAGAAAGACCTCTTCAAGAAATGGACCTCCTTTGGTTAGAAACATATTTGCATGGAGAATCCAGATAGGCCGTTTCCAGATGGCTGGGGCTGCCCCCACCAACCCCTATGATGGCTATACAGGGGTACTGGCTGCCCTAGTACCCAGGGAAAGGCGCCTCTGAGAACTGAGCACTCTTCCAATCCTTGAAGCTCTCTTACCTGCTGTGAGCTAACTGAGCCAGCCTGCTTGTTCCAGTGGGAATGGTGGGGTCCTTGGAGACCCTGTGGCTGTTTATTGGCATTCTACATACAGCAAGGGTAATGGGAAGTGGCTGAGTTGTTTCCTGGCAGGCCTTGAGAATTACCTGACTTTCTCTGCTCATTTGAGGGTTGATTTTTCTAAGCAAGTTTTCTTTGTGTCCCACAGAGGGCTTTTCTTATGTCAGAGCATCCAGGCATTGAAGAGGTCCAGGCTACCATGAGAGGGCCCCCCGCTGTTTGTGGTGTTTGGTCCTTTTCCTGCATCCTCCATTTTCTGATTTGGACACTTTGGACTCTACAGCGAACAGTCTGGGAAGAAAAAAAAAAGGGGTATCTTCTAATCTGTCAAACATAATGGTTTCTGTGTATGTGTCTATGTAATAGACCAACTGCAGGCTGATTTACCTAGGAATTTACATGAAAATTGCTTTATGCAGCTGTATGTAAAAATTCAAGCTGCACCAAGTCACTCTACCACACAGGTCAAGGCTGAGCCCAGGGGGTATTGTAGCTAAAAACAATTTGTTTTCATTCATGAGACCAGAGGGAGGGAGGCCTCAGAGTGAGAGACTGCATGAGTACATGGTTAGGGCTCATCAGGACAGTTCTGTTCAGGGAGAAGCCAGAACTAACAGAGACCTGCTGCGGTGCTCCTCACAACGGTGTGCTCCTGACAACGGTGTAGGCAACTGGTGCCTTTATTTCTCCCTTCCTTGAAGTGTTAATAATTTAAAGGACAGTTATACTCTGTT